GTTCTGATGGCAAGTTCCAAATATACTAAAATAACCATTCTCTTTTTTCCTCAATATCTGTATAAACTCTTATATAATATAGACTGAAACATGTGCATTCAGTAATTATTCTCAGTCACACTGTACAAAATATCCAGGAGACACCAACGGACTCCCCAGTCATAAATTGCGCTCAATAATATCCAAGTTATAGCAAAGCCATAAACAAAGTGATATTTTGAGCTTTGCAGTACTGTAAGTGTCACACTCACATTATTTCTAGTAGATATTATTAATACAAAATGATCAATATCCATGCCTTCCATTTATTAATGAAGTTATACTCTGATAGCACACCTATATGTGGCCATATTGATTCAATTCACTGCATTTCATAAACTGTAAATATAAATCAACTTATAAAAAGCTTACATTATTGCTTATTAGAGTCTGAAGGATATGTTTCTTTAACAAGAACAGAGAAATAGGTTAAAACATTAACTGCAAGTTATCTCAAAAATTAATGCTCAATATTTTCACTGATGTTACAAATCAGAGATTTCATTTCAGAAAATATGACTGGAGAAAACTAACTTCTAATAAAAGTACAGGAACAAATGGCAGAAAGATTTATCCAACAAATGAGAAGATAATCACATGCCTAAGAATGATGCTACAAATTCTTATGTATTGATTGTATTCCTAAGTCCCATATCAATCTATAATTCAATTGTTTTGCTGTTAAGATGCATGAGGCTAATAGATAATCAATTTTAACTATTTTGTTTGCCAGATACAGGTGATCTGTTTGATACAGATAATGAATTATGGTAAAATTATCTTAAATAGTATGATAATGTTATACAGTATTTCATAAAATGCTGTTATTCTCAAGCATGACAGTTAATTTTCACAGCAATCATACCAATTCCCTTGTAACATGAAGTAGAAAGTAGGCATATCCTTGCAAGAAGTTTATTTCTGAGACTAAAATCTGAGACAAATTCACAAATTATGTTTATCACGGCTGAAGGACAAAATGTTGTCTCCTTGCCAGTCCTAGTACTGACCTTTTAATTTTTTTTAATCAATAGTGAGGACAGTGTCATGTTCCCACCCACTTTGGGAGACCCAGGATAGGTTCCATGGCAAATCCAATGGTTTTCCAAAGGAAGAGAACAACTTAGAGATCCCATGGATCAGCTGAGAATGGCCAGATTTCATACTCAGCATTTCCTCTTTAAGGCAAATCCGCTCACTCTTAATAGGATCAGACATCTCATACTAACACTTTACCATAGACCACTATCTTTCACTGGGTATGACTACTCGTTGCTATGGTTTTTATTGTTTATGAAAAAGTATTGTCTCTTTATTCTTATGCACTGAGGATAGTAGATCTTAACATATAAGTTGAAAAGGAATAAGAGAATACAGCCTAAGTGATTATTTCCCAAGTGGTAATAAAAAGGCAATATAGGCAGAGCAATTTGATGTTTAAAATAGGACTTTCCATGTATCTATTTTACACACTGCCGCTTAAACATTGTAAAGGAAATTTCAGGAAGGTCTGTACCATTTAATGAGGTATTAACTTTCCCAGGACAACACTAATTGATAAGGCAATACTGAGTTTTATATTTACATAAGATCACAAAATAGTAAAAAATAAAAAATCTCCCCCACATTTGTAAACTAGTCTATGAGTCCTCTTTTGAGTCTTTGAGGATAAAAATACAATGAGGATTTTTAAAACCCTCATTACAAATATGAGGAAACAATTGATCTATGATTACTAATCTTCATACACAGCTTTTAAAAGTATATTGTGACTGCTCTGGCCTCTTAAGCTGTTCCAAGGGAAAGCCACCTGCTACATAAAGGAGTAAATCTACTATCTTTTCTAGGCAGTCCCAATTTAAATGTGACCTTATTTATTTATTTTTAAATAGTATTTATCTAACCGAAGGCAGGATGTATGGTTGCCATTTATGTAGATGTATACTTTTGCAGAAATCCTGGTTAGGCGAGGGACGTGGCCTAGCGGCTTGGCTTCCTAAATGGATTAACTGACAACTCCACGAGGACTATTTTCTTCCCCCCTTTTTTGGGTTTCCTGCAGCCGGACTCATCGCTTTGCTCGGTGATGTATTCCAGGACAGATCTGCTGGTCCTGCGCGATTCCCCCCTCGCGCAGGCCTGGCCCAGTACCATCTCAAGGGCCTGCCTCGATGAAGGGGTGTGGAGCCCCGAGAGGTGGTATGCAGCAGATAGAAAAAAAACAAAATTGAGGACT